TGAAATTTTCACCAGATGTCGGTAACAACCCAACTAATCCATACATACAATGAAAACAATACAAATAAGTTCAGAAATTAAGTTCTGTGTAATAAAATGGAATGTCACAGGGAAAAAGTATTGTACCACTGGAATGCATTTATTACTTTGTACAAAAGCCTTTGTAGGCAATGACAGCTGTCTGGAGAAACTAGTGGCATGCATTGCTCAGGTGTGATTTTGACCCATTCTTCCACACAAACAGTCTTCAAATCTTGAAGGTTCTGTGGGCCTCTTCTATGAACTCTGACCTTTAGTTCTTATTTTCTATTGGATTCAAGTCAGGGGATTGGCTGGCCATTCTAGCAGCTTTACTTTCTTGCTCTGAAACCAATCGAGAGTTTCCTTGGCTGTGTTTGGGATCATTGTCCAGCCTTGTTTCATCTTCATCATCCTGGAACTGTAGGTGTTGGGACTGTATAATATTCATTTCCACTGACGAGGGGCAGGATTTAGAAAAATGGTGATGTGTTCAATACTTATTTTACCCGCTGTACAAATTGTATTAATATTAACCTCATTGAAGAGCAATGCACCCAAGGCATTCGAAACACTGTGCAAAATGGTCTGAAAGCAGCAGTTGTCCCGTGGCTCATCGGGGCACGTGCAGGAGGCGAGAGGTGTGTCCTGAGAAAGCGTCCCAGTTCCTCCAGAGCACAGCAAACAGGAGGAAGACCAGCAGCGAGGAGACGGAGCGGCTGCGTGTCTTCATCAGCGGCACCACACAGTTGGCGACGGTGGAGACGAAGACCAGCAGCACAGCCATGAGAGCCAGCAGCACGTTGATGAGTTTGCCCATGAGTGTGCGAGCCGTGGCGTTCTCCAGGCCCTCCAGCTGAACCACCTGCTGCTGCTGCAGCTCCATCTTAGAGACGCGCGTCTGACACGCTTCCAGAGCCTCCTGACACACACACACACACACACACACTGCAGGTTAGTCTCACACTAACACACACACAGACTGCTCGACTCCTGCACTAAAATAGCCTGGCATAATAATTACTAGTGTAGCATTACTCTAATATGCCATTTTGTTTACCTTCAACTCTGTCATTGTGTGTGATGATAATAACATTTATTAATTTTGGAGAAAAACTGAATAAGCTTTGGACTTGCTGACACAAGAACAAAGGAATAGTTCACCCAAAAAAATGAAGAAGTGCTGAAAATGTGCACATCCTCAGGCCATCCCAGATTAGGATGAGTATGTTTCTTCATCAGATTTGCAGAAATGTAGCATTGCATCAGTGTCTCAGCAATGGATGCTCTGCAGTGAATGGGTGCCGTCAGAATGAGAGTCCAAACAGCTGATAAAAACATCAGTTGTCTCTCACATATCTGTTTAGAGCTGTTTTGGCTTGTAAACGCTGCTTGATATGTGCAGATTTCTCTCCTGATTCAGACCAGAACACTTTTTCACTGGAGGAAGCGTTATTATGGATTATGGACTCATATTTAAGTTAGAAACGTTGTTTCAGCTTTGTCTTCTCCAGATGTTAACTGATGGACTGGAGTGCTGTGGATTATTGTGATGTTTTTATCAGCTGTTTGGACTCTCATTCTGACGGCACCCATTCACTTGCAGAGCATCCATTGCTGAGACACTGATGGAATTTCTCCAAATCTGATGAAGAAACATCTATGTGGCAGTTCACACCCACTAGCTAGTGTAAGTCAAGCTGTCTAGCTAGTATCCATTTGACCTCTGGGGCCATCATCATGGGTCATATGTTAAACACACACACCTGCAGGTCTCGGGCCCTCTCGTTGGACTGGTACGCGATCTTCTCCTCCATGCTGGCCAGCTCTTGTTTCAGGTTCAGGATCTCATTCTGGTGGAGCTCTGTCAGATCGTTCACTTGTTCCTGCGCTCACACACACCTACAGAAACACAACACAAGAAACACAGTCACTTCCTGTGCTCTGCGTCAAAGACAAACATGAGCGTGATTCTGCAGGAGAGTGTGTTTATGTGAGGGAACGAGACCTCGTGCATGTTTTGGTCTTTACTTATGTACACGTAATCATCTCAAAGTGTGATGGAGCTTCACTGGTCTGAAGAATCTAGAGACAAAACCACAAACTGATGACTAATGGATCAGTTTTAAACAGCTTTAACACTCAATTTAAATGCACTTAATGGAAGAAAACAAGAGTTCTGTCATTTTTTCCCTCCTCACGAAGGCACAAAGCGTGAGAACAGTCACAAATCTCTTTTACATACAATAACCATTCATCGTGATTACAGCTGTAAGGCTCAACAAAAATATGATACAGGCTCTAAAATCTCATATTCAGATTCAAGAATGGCCAGATTTGACATGTAATCTTAAAAGAGTGTGAGCACTGATATATATATATATATATATATATATATATATATATATATGTATATATGA